GCGCAAGTTTCAACAGCTTCTGTAGGTATAATTGGTTTGAATTTCATGAGCTTTGCATACTCATTCAACAGATGAAACATGTAATCATACACAAATTTCATCTTTAAATTCTCTACAACGTAGTTTGTTCCTCTCTGGCCAATCGCCTCTGCCTGCAATTAATCAAAATTGACAGTTTTTTGAAACATAATCAGACAAAAACTTTAAGTGTTAATGTTTAAAATGATGTCATATGTATAGCTAGAAATTAAGTGCATGTTTCATAATGAAATTAGCATACTTTCAACTTAAGAGTGATTTGTTTAAAGCATAGAAATGATTAAAAAACAAATTAAGGAAGAGAGTGATTACAATGTGAAGGTGAGAATTTCCCCAATCCACTGCATACTTAATCTCTTCACACATGTTTCTGATGCTGATAGGCCAATAGTGTTGTAAAGGTAACATGTTTCTTGTAAAAAAGTCATAATACTTAGGCTCTATGAACATGGTCATTGAGTCACATGCTATTATGTACTTTTCACTCACTGACCATGTAGCCCCTTCTGTGTAGATCTTGTATCTAAACAGTAAAAAACCCAACATGAACAAAGTTTAAAATTTAGAAACGAAAAACTCGAGAAGATTACGTGCAACAGATTCAAAAGGCAAACTAAACCTGACTATAATAATTATATAGTGTTTGAAAACATTAGTACCTAAAGGTACATTGATTTTCTAGTTTTGCGTTCTCGAAATGGCTTGCTTTCTCGTTTTGCCATTGCTGAAAAGAAGAGAAAAAGGTTAATTTCGTCTTGAAGAAATCACCGCATTAGTTTACCTAATTGACACAAAAAGTTAGGGTTTAAATTATTTACTATGCCATATATTCTTGCATTCCAATCATGGTTTTCTGTGGCATTGCACTTGCCTAGTTCTCCCCTGACATAGGACACTTTGGGGTTGCCTTTCCAAAAAGCATAGGGTATCCTATCCTTCCATTTCACTATTTTGTTGCCTTCTTGTATATTATGTAATGTTGTTTCCCATGGTCTTATGTTAAGCTCAGCCCTAGTAAGAAAAAGAAGAAGAAGATAAAATTATGACATTTTTTCCCTTTTTCTTTCATTTTCTTTAAAAAAAAGAGTAATCAAGTCATGCCTTCAAACATGATATTCATGATAAAAGTTTATAGAGGAAAGAAATTTATTCATGAAAAGTTGGAATGAAAAAGGTTCCCACCCATATTTAGGTTAAACAAAATTAATGAATATATAAAATTGATGAATTTTTCAAGAAAAATTTATAGAGAAGACACTACAATAATAAAATCACAGTCCGACACATAAAACATTAACACAATTTTCAATCAAAAACTTTAAAATAATAAATTTTAGAAAAAAAAATATAAAACTATGATATGTTTTCCTTGGCTTTTATTTTCTTTAAAGAAAAAGTTTATAGAAGAAACAAATTTATGAAAAGTTGGGATGAAAAAGGATTCCACCTACATTTAGACCTTTCTAGACTAAATTAATGGCTGCATAAAATTGTTAGGTTTCACAAGAGAGATTTATAAAAGAAACACAATGTAACTGAATTCAATACATAGAATAAATCAAGACAACCTCCAACTCAAAATCTTAAATAATATGTTTATAAGTTTTTTACTTTATAAAATATTCAACTTTTTTATTTTTATCTAATATAAAATTTAGACTTATAGTTAGATTTTTAATCATCTTTCCTTATCGATAATCCTGTAAAAATAAATATATTTGTAAGTGTATTACTATAAAGACAATATATAAACTTTACCAGCCCCAGAAGGTCCAATCGGGGAAGACAATATCATATGACTGTTCATTTCCACAGTAATGGAAAACGGGTGGTGGTGAAATTTGTGGTTCTTGGAAATCTTTTTTGTTGACCACAGTTTTGTCTCCACATTGAAACATTAACTCCAAATCTGGTATTTTTCCTGGATACAACCTCAGGAGCTGCAAAATTCCCCATATTGTGAACATATCTCTTGTTTGAAACACTTTGCCATGCTTTTCTATGTAAGCTTTTCCATTTACAATTACAAGCCTAATATGTGAAATGTTTTTCCCTCTTTCAACCATTTCCCTTGTGATTCCTGTATTCTTCCATGGTTTTAGATCTTCGTGAATCCATCTAAAGTATTCTGGACATGATGTTGTTGGTGAATCATCATCTTCAAACTCAATGTTTGTTGGATAGTACGATGAACATGTTTCTGTTGAGTTCCCATCAGAGCAACTAATTGAGAATTGATTTGGTTGGTTATTGAATATAATAATTCTCCTAAGAGTACTGCCTCCTATTCTGGACTGAAAAACAAAAGGTAAAACGATTATTATTTATATATATAGAAGTTTCAATATTTATATTAAGTGCTATATAAATATATCTTTGAGACACCAATAATAAATGAGTACTGCCTCCTGTAGAAGTTTCTCCTTCTGGTTTAAACACGATTCAAAGAAGGGTTAATAATAAATTGACATTTGAAGAGGGTGGCAAATTGATTAATTTAAGGATGAAAATTAAACGAATTCTTAAAAAATGAAAATGATTTTTGTATAAAGGTCATGGAGAAAAAGAAAGAAATAGATAAGATAAGAAAAATAGATTGAAAAAGAAGAAATTAGCACTTACAAGATCGATTTCGAGGATAAAAGAGCTTGCAACAAAAAGAACCAAGACGATGATGGAGACGAAAATCCATTTGATCATTGTGGTAAACAACTCATAGCCAGCGTGAATGAAATGAGAGATATTAGCCCTAGAATTCTACACGAGCTGTTGTTGTTTACTATTAGCAATAACTAACTGCACCTTATTCAAGGAATGCTGTGCCAATTGCATGACGCAACTATACTTTGCTCATTGCCTTTCGGATGGAAGACTAGTTTTAAGGGGTATACACTATAAATAGTATATTTGGTTATCTTAAAGCAGATTAATTAAGACACTGAAATTATGTTAATTAACTTTTATTTTTTTATTTCTAATAAATATTTATTAGAAATGGGACGTTTCAGCCTGCTCAAGCCTCCAACTTATTCAAGCTTGCATGGGAAGATTTTCTGCAACTCACGTTCAGGTCATCCAAAAACTTCAACTTCCACATAACTCCAAAAACTACATTATTATTATACCCAATTTAAATATAATTAAATCAAGAATACAATGCAAAAAGAATCAACTCAATTAGATAACTATGAAAAAATTTATTGATTAAACAAGTAACAAAGGTCAATCCTGTCATAATTTACTTTTACTAAAAATTTATCTAAAAATTACAAATTAACATGTTTTTTGAACTTTTACAATTTGAATTTATGATCACCAAATGTTTTTTGAATTCATGATATCTTTTTGTGTGTGAAAATATATGAATCCTTTAAGCATATTGGTGTATAACTTATGGAATAAAATGTAAAACAAAATATGTTGCTACTGAAAATTAAACATTTTTGCATCAACAAAAATTTTGAGTTGAAATCAACATGATATATAGAGTTTATAGTTTTATTTGTAGATTGTCTTATGTGACACGTACTTATGTCTATATAAAGTATTTATATTTGGTTCACCAAAACTTATGGATTACATTCAATTCTTTTGGACACATATCTTAAGAGGTTTTACTAATTAAATAAAATTTGATTATAAACAAGCACATAAACCTTTCTAGGTTTTGAGTATCAATCTCTTTAGATACTTTCTTAATTTTTTTCCTTAAATTAAAAACTCTCAATAAAATAAAGAGACAAATTCTAAAAGCAAGAGAGTGTAGTTTAAGCTCGTAATCTTTTCATTTGGTATTTTCAAAGGAAATTTCTAATGTATACTTCAAGATAGTCTTTAATTTTTCTTCCGTGAAATACGTTAAAATTTATTCTTTCAATTTCTCTCAATAACTTCCATATTTGTATTTCTTCATTTGAAGTCTTCAAATCATATGATCGTTGAAACCCTAGAAACAAATAAACTTTTGATTTAATCTTCAAATCTTTATCCTTTGAATGGTAATGTTATAATTAAGTCTTCAACGCAATTTTCAAATAATTCTTTAGTTTTTTATTTTTATATTCGATTTTTAGATCATAGATTGCTTGATATAAAATCGTTTGATGTTGTTCTCTCAATATTCACAACGTTTTTCCGTGAATAGAAACTTTTCAAGTTATTAATTCTAAATATAATGCTAATAGTATTCACAACATAATAAGATATAACTAAATCAAAACAAATCATAGTGTTAAAATCATTTTAGGGCAAATAGAATACTTTTAGATTGAGAGATAAAGTTATCGTTGATAACCTTTCTCAATTCAAGATATAAAATTTGTTCATAATTTTTTTTTGTTTATATTTAATCATCTAGAAATATTTAGTTAAGTTTGGAATTTTGATGATACATTTTAAAATAAGTTTCTTAATTTTTATATTCACATATTTCGAAATATTGTCAATCCTATTAATTAATAAATATGTTATTTTTGAAATAGTTGATCTTTAGATTTGGGTTGATTTTTTGATAATTTTTTTAGTTTTTTATTTTCATTTCCCTTTTACCACATAAATAACTAATACATTAATATATATATATATATATATATATATATATATATATTAAAAGCATGTTATTTTTTACTATTTTTTCAAGTTTTTTTATTATATTTTATAGGTTGAGTTATTAATTTTTTTTACAATAATAGGATGATACACCTACATTTATTTACCCTGACTTTTATAATAGAAAAGTGAGAAATAATGTGTGAAATGTAAAAGTGTGAAAAATATATTTTTTAATTTTTTTTACTTTGAAATATGTAATAAAAATATTTCTCATATATAAACACAGTATTTTATTTTTTGGTAAGAGTCTGGGTAGCATAATACATGAATTTCATAATTTAAAAAAACAGGGACATTATTGGAAATACAAATTTTTGAGGGGTTAAAATGTGATTACAACAAAATGATCTCACTAAACCGGTTGGCCTCCATCTCATTCCTTCTCAGTTCTGAGTGGCAGAGCGACTCAGAAAACAACAAAGATGGCTTTGAAGAAGATGTTGGCTGCAGCGATCAATCAAGGAGTGCCGGAAGCACGAGCAAGGATCTTCGGCCACCAATTGAATCCCTCTGGCAAGAAATCTCCACACAAGATTCTCCGCATGAAGCTCTTCGGTGAAAAAGTCGCTCAGTGGTACCCTCACGACATCAATAAAGACGACCCTCTTGTCATGGCTCGTCAAGAACAAGAGTATTCTCTCTCACAACTCTGTCTCACTTTGTTGTCCATCGTAATTTGGTTGCACACGCCCGCACGGGAATGCTCACCATCTGTTTGTGTTTATGCCTCTCTGATGGTGTTTTTTGTTCTGGTTTCTTCTTGAGTTTCCTGTGGTTTTGTAGCCTGTGAGAGTTTATGTGGTTTTCTTATCTTGATTAATGAATGAAATGTTATTATCAAGTTTTTCTTTTCGGTGGAGGGGTTTGGTTTGCAGTTTTTGTCGTTCTGTGTTTCCTTTAATCGAGAAGATGTTAAAATGTCTGTTGGCCAAAATCCCGTTGGCACGATTGGTGTGTGTGGACGGCATTATGTTGTTCTGCATTTGGTATGAATTTCATAATTTGTTGACACATGAGAAATGCTTGTAATACTTATATTATTAGCTGAAATTGATTAAGAAGTATAAAGTTATGTAGGTTCCGCACTTTAGTTAATGAGTCTTCACTTGTGATTTGTAACATTTTTATTAACAGTGAAATGTCTGTTAGAAGGATGATTTATGGAGTGTCTTGTTAGCATCCCTCTTCCCTGAATACGTGGATATTAGTAGTCTACTGTTTTGTTGGTGGGATTGTTTCCACACTGAAGGGTAAATTCTACCCTTTAAAATTTTGTCCATTTTGTGTATATGTTTGTCATCCCTGTCTATTGTATGCCTTTGAACTTGGTTTACAGCTTTTCAAAATAGAAATGTAGAAAGTGCAGGTCTGATATGCAAACTATATTCTGTTTAAGCAACCTTAGAATAAACTTTATATTGAAGATGGTGGCTGATGACTATGTCTGTTAAGTTTGAGTGAGAGTTAGTAGAATATGACTATGTTTAAAATCAGGTGATGTTTGTTTTTATTTTCGCTGTGAATATGCTTATGTTGTCTTGCATCAAGTGGTACATTAAGTCATTAGAGGGATGTCTTTTATGTTCCAGTCAGAATCTCTGGTAACTTCACAAGTTATCTTACATGGACTTACAGGATTCAACATCATTTGTTATCTTGTTTTTTTCTAGACGTCTATCCAAGCTTGAAATGTTGAAGCGGCGAGGGAAAGGACCACCAAAGAAGGGCCAAGGAAGGCGTGCTGCCAAACGCAACAAATAAATGAAACTTTCACCAGTCACTGGAATCTTGTTGTGGACACTCTTTTGAGTTAAAGACAACTAGTAGTTCATGTGATAACAACATGAATTTAACTTTTTTTTATCAGATTGTAAACCCAAGCATTTGAGAATTGAAACCTAATTTGGTTGAAGTTTGTGTCCTCTATTTGCAATTAGTTTTTCCGGAATTGCTTGCAAGCTGGAATGCAACCATAAGATTACAAAGTAGCCAATTTCTTATTGACTTTGATATTATATCCTATCTCATCTTTATCGCATTTTATGGGTTGTGAGAAATTCATTATTAACATCTTCTTCCAATTTTTAAAACTTAATCTACTAATACATTTATAAGTAATTTATAAATTCAATTAACAAGTATAATTTAATTAAATAACATGAGATTAAATATGTTTTTAAGTTCGTAAACTTGAATATGAATTTATAATGTTTCTGTTCCAAACTTGAATATGAATTTATAATGTTTCTGTTCCAAACTTTGATACATTGATTTTTAAACTTTAAAAGTAAATAAAAATAATCATTTCAATTCAAGGTTATTAATCTTGTCGACATTAGAAAAGCAATATTGTCGTTGATATACAATGATTATATTTATTTATTTTTAAAGTTTAAAAATAAAATTGTATTAAAATTTTGAATGATTATATTTATATATTTTTAAAGTTTAAAAATAAAATTGTATTAAAATTTTGAATAAAAACAAATTTTAGTTCTATATTAAAGTTTAAAGACTAAAAATATATTTGACTTAATAATGCATAAAATTTAAAAATTATCAAAAATATATAAAATAAAAAATGTTGTATTATAGATTTATTTATAATTTGAAAATTGTTGTTTTATTATTATTATTATTTAAATTAGTTAACTATTAAACTTAATTATATACTTAAATTACTTAATCTAAAAAGTTATTAAAATATATTAGAATTTATATATGTATTACTTAATCTAAAAAGTAAAATTGCTTATATTGATGTTACATAAATTTAAAATATATATTTACTTTTTTATTTTATTTAACCTCTTATTTAATAATATGAATTATTAAATAAAACATCATAATTATGATATTTCACAATATATAGATAATTAGCATACACATTATCAATACAATTATGTGGTGTAAATAATCATATTAACATAGAATAAGTTCTAAGACTCAAAAATATTACACAAGTTCTATAAAAGAGAAATAGCAACAATTGAAACATTTAACTAAAAGTCTCAAGAGATCACTTAGCAGCAACAGCGCCTCTGCTAAAGACATGACATCGCCTACTTTATCCGCTACTCACACCAAAATGTGATTATTACAAAAGAGAAACAACACATACATATAAAGAAGAAGATTAGGTAAACTAGTATTCAAAAGGAATTTCATAAAACAGTTTAACATATGACATTATTTCAACATTTATAACATTTTATAAATCACATAACATATAAGCAGTTGACTCTAAACTCAATTATTTGAATACATATTTTGTTATAGAACTTCACTATAGATATGCATCCAAAGTAGTATTTCTACATAGTTATAAATATAGGAGTTATCACCTTACTACTTACGAGGTTAATTTTAAGTCTAGGGTAAAGACTTCATATCATTTTTTCTCTCACCATCATTAAACTCTATTTGAGTTCAATGGTTGTTAGTATATCAAGATATCTACTTTCTGAACTTTCTTATGATAAAGCATACACTAACCATTCACCCAGTCATAGAATTTATCCTTGCAATTCTTTTCACATCACATACCATTCATAATCATAGTCATGTTTACAATTCATAAAGCATTAACAATTCCAAATAAGCATGCATTGAATCTATATAAACCACTTTAAAACAGTAAGAATTAAAAAAATCACAAAAAAATGCATTGGCTTCACAATAGAGAAATCTCGACGCAAGGTGGCGCTCAGCACCAAAACTCTCGTATTTTCTCTCGCTCAGCGCAAGAAACCTCATGCTCAGCAAAATTATTATGAATTAAGTTCCATGTCTGCAGAGGTAATTGACGTTCAATGGTGCTCTGCCACCGTTCAACGCCGGACCATTCACAAAATGGTCGCTCAATGCCATACAGTGCACTCAATGCCACATCAAGAACTAATACACTCCATTCTATGATTTTGGAGAAACAAGGACCTCTTCAGATGACCAAATTGTTATTCCTGACTTAGAGTTTGGTTCAAAAATATATTTCAATGTCAGATTTGCATACCAATTTACTTGAATGGCCAGATTCTCCTTTCTTCAATTCAACATCAATTTCAACAATTAGAATTCAAATACAATCAATTCAATCAACAGAAATTCAACAAGTTTAACCACCAATATCAGAATTTCAACCAATCTTAGACAAATTAAATATGCAGTTCAAACTTTCAAAAAGCATCAGAACCAACCCGTTTTATTTAGATTTGAATTAAAAAAATTTATATATATATTTTTTTATTTTTAAAAGAACTTATAATCAAGTGAGTTAGTGAACCAACCCGTTTAATCCACCAACCCGTGGTGGGTCGGGCCAGGTTTAAATTTTTTCAGCTCACTAATAAGTTAGCTGGGTTGGGTTTGCTCATTAAGTGACCAACCCATGATAGGTCGAGCCGAATTACCCATTTTAACAACTCTACTTCCACGTCTATCTATTTTCAATCAGCAGTATTTGTAAATTTTTACTTCCAGGTCATCCATTTATCACAATCTTATTATTGTAATCACAGTTTTCAATCAGCAATATTTGTAAATTTTTACTAACTTTCTTTACCTGAGAATAACTTATTTTAGAATTCTTAGAGATCAAGATTCAATGTTGTCTAATTAGACCAAAGTATCCAAACATGATAAAGATTCATGATAAAACAAGTTGAGATAATCACTTCTCTCAACTAACCGTAATAAGATTGGTGAGCTTAACTTTACTAAACTAAGAAAAGAAGGAAATTAAAGAGCAAATAACAACTTACTATGCTTAGAATTTTGATCGGATCAAGATGCAATTAGATTTTGAGAAAGATGAGGTATAGAAAGAGAAGTTAAAGAGAAGGGAGATGAAGATTTTTAAAGGAAGCATAACGTGTGTGTACATGATGAAGATGTTAAAAATTTAAAAACCAGTCACATGTCTAAGTACTAACAAAGGGATTGATTTTATTTTAATAATTTATATTATTTTCATTGTTCATTGTAGAAAGAAAATCTATAATTCGTGATACAATTCAACGATTTATAATTTTATAAATTCTTCACAATTTTAACTATAATTTTGATTTAACTACCTCAAATACAAAAATATAGGAAAAACATTAGAATGAAATTAGATTTTTAATTTTATTTTAAGTATGTTTATATATATATATATACTTTTATTTATGTATATTTTGTGTAACATCTCAATTTCTAGGATTCACCTTACTAATTTAAAGCATTACATAGTTGATAAAAAAAGTGTAAACCAACATATAAGTATATAAAATGTATTTAGAAATTCTCAGTGAGAAAAACAAAACTAAACCTTTGAAAGATAAATAATACTTTATAAACTAGAAGGATTTATAATTTATAAATTCTTCACGATACTACATAATTGTACATCAATCATACATATTAGTACAAAAATCGCATACAACGTCGAATATTTTGGGCTTTTAATAGTGGATTCGCGAACACTGTCATATCAGAAGATGTTAAATTTAGGTCGAATTTAAAAAATTCGACATTAAATTAACGTCGAATTTTATCAATATACGACGTTAACTTAGCATTGAATTTTGTCAATATACGACGTTAATCAATTTTTCTTTTGTTTTTTTAATTAATTTTTATCCTTTTTACAACTCTACGAGACTTGAAAAGCAGAAAAACAACAAATTTTAGTTTTTAGTTTTTGGTATTTTATAAAGCAAGAACTATGAACGTGTAGTGTAGTATCACCAACAATAACCAACAACAAACAAGTTCAATCAAACAACAACAACAACAAACAAGTTCAACTAAACAACAACAACAAACAAGTTCAACTAAACAACAACAACAAACAAGTTCAAAAAAAAAAATAACAAACAAGTTCAAAAAATAANCTTGCATCAAGTGGTACATTAAGTCATTAGAGGGATGTCTTTTATGTTCCAGTCAGAATCTCTGGTAACTTCACAAGTTATCTTACATGGACTTACAGGATTCAACATCATTTGTTATCTTGTTTTTTTCTAGACGTCTATCCAAGCTTGAAATGTTGAAGCGGCGAGGGAAAGGACCACCAAAGAAGGGCCAAGGAAGGCGTGCTGCCAAACGCAACAAATAAATGAAACTTTCACCAGTCACTGGAATCTTGTTGTGGACACTCTTTTGAGTTAAAGACAACTAGTAGTTCATGTGATAACAACATGAATTTAACTTTTTTTTATCAGATTGTAAACCCAAGCATTTGAGAATTGAAACCTAATTTGGTTGAAGTTTGTGTCCTCTATTTGCAATTAGTTTTTCCGGAATTGCTTGCAAGCTGGAATGCAACCATAAGATTACAAAGTAGCCAATTTCTTATTGACTTTGATATTATATCCTATCTCATCTTTATCGCATTTTATGGGTTGTGAGAAATTCATTATTAACATCTTCTTCCAATTTTTAAAACTTAATCTACTAATACATTTATAAGTAATTTATAAATTCAATTAACAAGTATAATTTAATTAAATAACATGAGATTAAATATGTTTTTAAGTTCGTAAACTTGAATATGAATTTATAATGTTTCTGTTCCAAACTTGAATATGAATTTATAATGTTTCTGTTCCAAACTTTGATACATTGATTTTTAAACTTTAAAAGTAAATAAAAATAATCATTTCAATTCAAGGTTATTAATCTTGTCGACATTAGAAAAGCAATATTGTCGTTGATATACAATGATTATATTTATTTATTTTTAAAGTTTAAAAATAAAATTGTATTAAAATTTTGAATGATTATATTTATTTATTTTTAAAATTTAAAAATAAAATTGTATTAAAATTTTGAAAAAAAACGAATTTTAATTTTATATTAAAGTTTAAAGACTAAAAATATATTTGACTTAATAATGCATAAAATTTAAAAATTATCAAAAATATATAAAATAAAAATTGTTGTATTATAGATTTATTTATAATTTGAAAATTGTTGTTTTATTATTATTATTATTATTTAAATTAGTTAACTATTAAACTTAATTATATACTTAAATTACTTAATCTAAAAAGTTAT